ATATATATATATATATTTCTTTTTTGACAGCCCAACTTTTCGCTTTCTGTTATTGCCTACCTCAGCACATGTTTTCACCTTAGCATGTTTTGTGTTTACTGTGTATTGCAGGTCACAACAACGACAATTATTCCAACATCGATGGTACCTAAAACCACAGCACTGGATACTACAACTACAACGGCGGTAACTACGACATCAGCGGTGGATGTAACAGCTACAACACCGGTTACTACAACAACTGTTGACATTACGACTACAACACCGGTTACTACGACAACAACACCGGTTACTAAGACAACGACAGTGGATACTACCACTACCCCACCGGTTACTACGACAACGACGGTTGATACTACCACTTCACCACCGGTTACTACAACAGCTGTTGATAGTACGACAACAACACCGGTTACTACGACAACGACAGTGGAAACTACCACTACCCCAACGGTTACTACGACAACGACGGTTGATACTACCACTTCACCGCCGGTTACTACAACAGCTGTTGATAGTACGACAACAACACCGGTTACTACGACAACGACAGTGGAAACTACCACTACCCCAACGGTTACTACGACAACGACGGTTGATACTACCACTACACCGCCGGTTACTACGACAACGACGGTTGATACTACCACTACCCCAACGGTTACTACGACAACGACGGTTGATACTACCACTACACCGCCGGTTACTACGACAACGGCGGTTGATACTACCACTACCCCAACGGTTACTACGACAACGACGGTTGATACTACCACTTCACCACCGGTTACTACGACAACGACGGTTGATACTACCACTACTTCACCGGTTACTACGATAACGACGGTTGATACTACCACTACCCCAATGGTTACTACGACAACGACGGTTGATACTACCACTTCACCACCGGTTACTACAATAGCTGTTGATAGTACGACAACAACACCGGTTACTACGACAGCGACAGTGGATACTACCACTACCCCAACGGTTACTACGACAACGACGGTTGATACTACCACTACACCACCGGTTACTACGACAACGACGGTTGATACTACCACTACCCCAATGGTTACTACGACAACGACGGTTGATACTACCACTTCACCACCGGGAACTACAACAACTGTTGACATAACGACTACAACACCGGTTACTACAACAGCGACGGTGGATATTACCACTATCCCACCGGTTAATACACCAACTGTTGATAGTACGACTACAACACCGGCTACTACGACAACGCCGGAGGAAACTTCGAAATCAAGTAACAAGAATTCTGGGATGTCCGTTCCTACACTGATTGTAATTGTCACTACTCCATCAGTACTTTTAGCGGGAATAGTTGTTATTTTTCTCATTACCAAATACAACAGACTGCGAGCTCAGGATGCAAAAGGTAAGTTAATACATATTGATTATGATTGTTTTATTAGCTCACCTGCCCGAAGGGCATATGAAATAAGGGTGTGGTCCCCTAGGGGGTTTAGTAAGGGGCCAAAAAGGGGAAAATTTAGAAGAAAAAAAAATCAAAAATCTTCTCCATTTCCAGAAATGCTAAAACCAAATACTACTCATAGCTGTAAAGGTCTTTGGGTGGTTTTTAACAATTGTGATCCTTGGGACAAGGGGCTTAATGGATTTATGAAATAAGGGTGTGTCCCCCTAGGGGGTTTAGAAAGGGGCCAAAAAGGGGAAAATTTAGAAAAAAATCAAAAATCTTCACCATTTCCAGAAATGCAAAAACCAAATACTACTCATAGCTGTAAAGGCCTTTGGGTGGTTTTTAAGGAATTTTTAATTAAATGAAAACGACTCTATATTTTATAAGTGTGCGTCTAGGTTTGTCTGGACATGATATCAACTAATCTTGTCTGATTGTACGATCAAAATCAACGGGAATTATTTCAAAATAAGTTATTTGTTGGATGATGATTTCTTAATTACATGTTATTGAAACTCTATTTATGATGTATACATTTTGTCCAACTTATTAAAAGTTAAACACGTGTACCCAGCTATGCTTGGTTTGGTTTGGTTTAGTTTTGTTTGACGTGTCCGATCAACAGCTATGGTCATTTAATGACGGCCTCCCCTGTGTGCAAGATGCATGCGTGTAGTGTATGCGTGTGTGTTTTAAGAGGCCGCGATATGTTCGTGTTTTTCACATTGTGATAGCACGGAACTGATGCCGATATTATTGTGCTACCTCACTGAAACACACTGCCGAAGACACCCAACAGGACCCCCCACCGGTCACTTTATACTGACAACGGGCGAACCAGTCGTCCCACTCCAAAAATGCTGATCGCCTCTTACGATCATGCAATGGGGGCAGCCGGTACAATTAGTACACCCTACCTGCAGGGACTTCCCATCTATGCCTCTAATTTCTCAATTCCTTAGTGGTATTAACTGCAAATAGTCCATTTGAAATACAATTAAAATCCTATTGGAATATGTGTCATTATTTCACAGCATTATGGTCTTTAACAGAATATTTTCTTTGGATGATCGATGTCAATGCTTTTTTAACAAATCGTTATTTTAATTTCCGGTTTGCTAACAAAAGTAAACGTTGAAATAGATTTGGTTGCTTAGCAACATATTTTATCATAACATTTCTCTAAACCATTATTGTTTCAAATGATGCAGTTAACTAGCAAAGAATAACGATGCGTTGGACAGTAAACGGTGCGATGCAATCATTTTCACGTTGTTGATTAGAACTCTTGATTGATAAATAAATAGTTATTAAAACAAACGAAACGATCATATTCTATTTAAAAACATTACTTTTACACAGAGAATAGTCGATATTTCCGTGTATTTCTTTCCATTTAATAAAGGTTCAGTTTTTCTGTAATATGATTAATCAGGGTATTGTGAGCTGAAGCATGATAAACACTTATTTTATTCATTGTTCCGACCCTATCCTGTTTCACTCTTTAAGGCTCCCTAGTACAGCCAGCAGTTGTTCACCTGAGTCATCATTCAAGCACACACAATAACGGCACTGCTTTTAATATCCAAATCTACCAGAGCTGTAGAATGTATCTGTATTTATTTCCATCCACTAAATTTAAGGCCTAACATTACTGATCTAAGACGAATTGTGAATGATTATGTCTTATCTCTAATTTTAGAAGAGTTTAAAATTATTAAAATGTCACTGATCTGTTATTCAAATAACATTGCTTAATCCGTTTCGTTTTAAACTAAGTTTGTACAATTGACTGACACACAATCGGAATGTACAATTTAATCGTATACATCAGTAAAAAAATAATGACTTTAGAGTATTAAAACATCTGAATATTTATAAACTATTATGTTATTCTTGCTACAACAAATGGCATATTATACAACAAATTTTTATGTTTTAGATAAATGCTTCTCTTTAAAACCAGTTCACTCGTTGTCATTAAAATACCAATTACTTGTATCTTCATGTTTTCATGTTTCTTGAAGACTGTTTTGCATGGGTCAATAAACATGGCTCGTTTATTTATTTCGTAGAGAGTAGAGACATCATTGTATAAATTGTACAAAAAAAGGGAGAAAGGAATATTTACGAAATAACGACATGAAATATTCTCACGGAGTGATAATGAATACAAGTAAAAAAAAGACAACAGAGTTGAAGTATATCGTTGCAGATTGTGATGGGTTTATAATGTAAAATTAAATATTAAATATTGCTTTTTGTCTACAGAACAACTAACCAGGAAGGATTCATCGATGGTCGCTGACAATTTTCACACGACAGAAAACCAACAAGGAAGAAACGAATATCCCTACTCGTCACCTTTTTCGATTACCAATAATATGAAGTCATATCAAACGCAACTACCACGCATACAAACCAATTCTGTCTTGAGGTCAGTTACCCCAACGATAACGCCATCGAATTTCACATACCTTGGAGTCGGTGATAACGGACATTCTTCTCAGACATTTTACACAGGAAAACAACAGAACAGGTTCAATTAATTATCATGTATGGGTACTATGTCCAAAGTCGTTGCAACAGTGGTTAGCAAAATGATAAGAATCAAAGGTTTTAATTTTCTCAATTTATTAAGTACAGAGAACTTAAGTTATTACATCAGGTTAAAGTTGTGATCACTATTCAATGTGCTGATTATATTCAGGTATTCCAAACATGATGCATTCAAAAATTGGACGTTTTAATAAGTATTACGTCATGAGATAGTCATTAATACATTATGTGACCCAGAAGTGAATATGGGACTGCCATACATCCTTGGAATTCAAAACAATATTTAATGATTTTCTTATGCTTGTATGTATTTCTGTATACTATCTTTAAAAGTATAACGGTATTTTCGGAGAGTTTAATATTTAAATTGTTTCCATATATAGCCTTTTAACCACTAAACAATAATTTGTGATGAGAGTTCTGTTGATACCGCATAAATGTCTGTAACAAACATATGTTATAACATGATGGCAAAGTTGATTACTTCAGATAATTTGTTAGATGATGTACCTTACGTAAACATGTTACATGAAAATCGGAATGCTTATGTTTGAAAGACACAACATATAGATGATCTGGAAGGTGTCCATGGTAATTTATCACAACTATTAATTATTATGAATTATTGATTAAGTTAGATATTCCAGAACCATTTCAGCTCATTGCGCCCTTCATAACATAATCGGTGTAAGGCACCTGTATTGGCTTCCTCTGATTATGTCCTAATGATTGTAGTTATTAATTCTCTACCTGTATGTATATTTAGAGAGGAAGACATGAACGTAGATAAAGTACGTCCAATGGACATTTTACATTCCTTTTACAGATTTAAACATTTGTATATGTCTACACGTTGATCAAACACGTGTCTACTCAAATTGGTACGCTACCGAAATTGGTAAACGGCCATAAAACGTTTTAAACTGTGCTATAAAATTGCAAGTGAATGCGTTTTCATCTGAGCATATAGCATTTATTTTATTCATCAAAACGTTTAGAGTGCAAAATGGCTTTCCTTCGTCGATAATATTAATTTTTGAAGCTGTACTATATACGACATCATGTGACTATTTTACCACGTGACATAGTATAGGTCCATCAAGTATGTTGATAAGTACAGGAACCGCTCATGCTTCTTTCAAATATTGTTATATATAACTATATTAAGTGTCTTAATATTCCTTGTTTTGTTTACCTGTATAACCAGAAACGTGTATCTATATAATCGATAGTTCGTATAATCTAGACATTTAATTAATCAAGTAGTTTTATGTTTTTAGGAATTTGCAACTATTTGTAAGGAGAACAGTTCTATATTCCGGATAGATATATTTGTTAGTGAATTCGCGATTTAGATCGGGATTCATTATCAGATAATCAAACACCTATTGCGTCACGTGATATGTTTACATTTTTGTCACAACAAATGACGATGGAACTGATATCACCTGTGTACAAGAGTGTATTAAGCACTTTAATCATCGTATGTAAAATGATATATGTAAATATTTCAATTAGTCATATTATTCTCCGACGACAGATACATTGTATCTTATACCTTTTGTTTTAAGATGTTGTAGGTAATAACATGTAATAGTATTAACATGTCTCGGAAACTAATACAAAACTTTAACAACCATGGTTCAAAAAGCAAATAAGTTTTACACTAATTGTGCGACAGTGTTATTTCCACAGATTACTGTCAATCGGACAACTTCTTTAGTTGTGTTTTATGTTACCCTTTATTTCTAGAATATCTAGATTCCATGACTAAATATTTAATTGGTACACAGGAAATGGATATATAAAATGGTTATCCTCCAGGATTGCTGTTGTAAAATGCATGCAGCTTAAATAAGGTGAAGCTAAAATCAGTCACCTAGGTTTAATTTGACTTTAAAAAGTAATTGGAAGGTATTTTAATTCCCTTTTGACAGGTTGGTGTTTATTTCAGAGTAAAGTAAAGGACAATAACATGATGTTTAACAAAGATGGTGTGTTATTAATATGTAAGTAAACATGTATTATATGTCTGTATTCCCGAATAAGTATTTAATTATATTGTCATAAAGGACATTAACAATATGTTTAACAAAGATGGTGTGTTATTAATATGTAAGTAAACATGTATCATATTTCTGTATTCCCGAATAAATATTTAATTGAATAATCATTCTTGGCTTGTGTACTTTGTATTCTTTGAAGTAAATCGTGACTGACATTACCGTATTCTTGCGTCAGCTGTGGCAAAACCACTTTCTCATGATTTAGTGTCGAACATGGATGGCATGCAGTATTTACTTATTAATCACCCGTTATCCCCTACTGGTTCCCGGGAGTGGAGGAGGGGGGTATTCATAAAGCCAATGATTCGGAACAATTTGGAGGAGACAAACTCTCAAATACTGTTTTCAATGTTTTCATTTGACTTTTTAATCGTTTGACATGATTTAAGCAAGTTCCAGAAAAGTTGGGTTTAAGCAAAGAATCCATGTTTGCGTGGGAACTGTTTCATGAATGCGGCCCCTGGTTTGAACTTNGTTTGAAAAAAATCCATCCACTGGTTCTTGAGAAGAAGTTGAAAATGTAAAAGTTTACGCACGACGCACGACGCACGACGCACGACGGACGACGGACGACGGACGAAAAGCGATTGGAATAGGTCACTTGAGCAAAGCTCAGGTGACCTAAAAAGGTATCTTTGACTACAATTTAATGTTTGGCATTTGAAGGTATCCTTGGACAATTTTGTCAGCTGTATATTTCCTATACTATTTTACCTGGAATATCCATATTATGTAATACGAGTACAGCTTTGGGTGGCGGAGCGCACAGTTAAGAAGGGGATGAGCGTGGCTTATGATTTTTCCTTTACCCTTGAAATGTTTGTCAAGGACATATTTTCTATACTCTGCAAGAGTAATCAATACGGTCCAAGTGTTAATAGGAGGATATATCCGATCAAACTTTACCAGCTTTAACCAAACAGCTGTAAACGTAGATAATCAGTAAATTCCCGAGAAACAGATCAACTTTGTCGTTATTGCTGTGTAGAGGACACCAATTGGGTCATACAAAAGCCGCCTGCTACAGTACCGCAGTTTGTTACAGCATGTTTATACTTTTCTCAAAATTACAAGATTTTGTATTTCACTCAGACACACATAAATGAGTGTAACAAGAGGTCATTTATATATAACATAGTTAGAGTGCATGACAGGCAAACATTCTATATCATAGCATAGTATAATAATTAAGAAATAATCAATATATGTGCGTGCATTATGGTGGAATATATAACTCGGGATTCGAAAATGTTGGTAAAAATAATTAACGTAGGCCGTTTCGGCCTTCGTTAATTATTTTTACCATCATTTTCTCACCGTCGTTATATATTCCACCATAATGTACGCACATATGTTGATTCTTTTTATTCTACCACGTCAAATGTAACTAATTGTTAAGTTTTGCTGTCTTATAAGGCGACATGACCTAGATAATTCGATATGCAAATTAGACGCTGTTCTTTGGCGCCTGCAATATTTATCACGTGATCGTGTTGCCTCGTTTTAACTTGATCAATGTCGCGCCAACATTTTTCAGTGCGTAGGGTTGGGATTCCCGGATTGCGTTTACTTCTAAAACCATCATCATCGTACCGATATCAAGCGGATTTTCTTGGAAGTGCCAGTGATACAACATCATACGATAGGCCTGACATGAGTTGGCATATTTAGTTGGTTGCCATGACGTGATGGAAAGTCGCTGACCGGCTGATCATGACGCGACCTTCACCTTCACCGACTTCACCGGACAGCTGTGTTTTGCAACCACTGTTCAGACCGATGCTACTTTTTGCAACATTATTCTTCACACACGGTATGTACACTGTAGGCGAATGCTCGACATCACTTTGATTTTTTGAAAGCAGACGACGTTTTGCAGACCAGAAACAACTGAACACGTGTGACGTCAGATACGATGTTTATTTCAATCAATCAAACATTGGCACGCTATCGACATCGTTCGTCAAAACATGAAATCAACGCTTGACAGTACATACACACACTGCACACATCGTGAAATGTACGGCACTACCCAGTGAAGTAAAAACAGAAGTAATTAATAATTTACCATTTTGTCTTCAGACCTGTACATTTTAAATGTCAATAATTAATAAACTATTTTCACTGCACGGACCCACATACTTTAGGTCTATAGATCCGTGTAATCTTTTGCAGGCCTGTCAAATATTTTAATCCCGCCTGACAGTTTTGCTATTTTTGTTAATTCATGATAAAATACGGGGAGGTTGTTGGAACAGCATGCGTGCGCACTATTTCACGTGCATTGGTTATTGGCACGCGCATAGTATATCGCTCAATAATGCACTCTTTTTAACCAATGAAAACCGTCGTTACATCACAGACGTGGTAGAATTACATATATACGTCTAGTTACATACAAATATTTCCGTGTTCAACGTATACAAAATGTCACTAGCAAACAGAAGACAAAACTTGTAGAATAGATACACTATAATACTTTTGTTAATTTTTGAACAAATAAGCTAACATTATTTAACAATTTCATATTAAAAACTGTGAATATTCCTTTCATTTCATTTCCGTTCAAATGTGACAGGAAAATAAAATAATAAATGACAAAATGCATTAGGCTGTTTTGACGTGATTTAAATCTTCGCGTAATATCTCAACGCTAATGCTTTTAAGTAAGTGCGTGTTTCGTATGTTTTTGTGTGTATCAATTTGTTTTTTTAATTTTTCTCAACATCATATAATTGTAAATAAAGCAAAATTTGCACACTCGTGAAAAAAACCCCTGATATACGGTAGTTAGATTTTAACAATTTCCGATGTTGAGGGAAAGAAAACAATTATTAATCCATCAATGAAAACAGAAAGTCAGGAGAAAAATAGGAAAAATATTTATTGAGCACACATGAATATAAAATAAGAAATTTATTACTACTTGCAAAGCTATGCTATATCATTGGATATATAGAGTAAACTAAGGACAAGGTTATATATCTATAATACATAATCTGTGCGCTATGATACTTTGTCAACTTAAATCAACTCTTTCCGATACTTTTTAGAATATGTTTTCATTTTAATACTCTTAACAAAACATCATTTGTCAGAGAAAACTTCAAGGTAATATAGTTTTATTGCATGGAAAGAATGATATTATACAATGTCGACAATTTTCGCTGATTTTTATAGCAAGCCATAATAGGATACCGTAGTTTATCGTTTAATACCCACAGGCTATGATATTTAGTTTAAAAAATGTCGTATTTGGGATATCTGATGCAGCGGGAAACGTGACAAAAAGGTTTGAAAAGGTAACAAAGTGCGGGTTATACGATATCTTTCAAATGCAAAATTGCATATTTCTTCCACTCTAAACAAAATCACAACAAAATTATAGAAGTACTGAAGTTTCATCATCGAAAGCATGCATGGAAAGTCTTTTTACATAACTAGCACAGTGTAAATGTCGTTTGATCGAAGTAATAAGTGGTCAGCTAGGAGTCGCTATGGCTGTTTGCATCAGATTATTAATGATACGATCAGTGTTTTATACATGTATACCTATACAACTAAACATATAATATAAATTGAAAACATCGATTACTTACACATACATATGATAGCTACATGTATTTAACGTTAAAATTTAACCCATATTCATTACGTATAATCGTTTTCTTATGTAGCAGATCACCAGCTGGTAATCTACCTGAGCGCGCAATCTGCACATTTTTTCCCTAAACGTGATGTTTTCAGGTGTGCGGGCAATATAAAGGAGCGGATAATATGAAATAAATTACGGTATCTAAACATACTATGATATTTAGTTTCTAAACAAAATTAAATTGGACAATACATGAATAAATTTAAACAATATATTTATATTTAACGAAATATTTACATTCCCTTTTTCAGAAAATCATTGTATTTATCACAGGGATTACTCATTCCATCAATATAATTATGTTATATATGTATAACTATATATAAAAAATATCCCATTTAATGACAATATATGTTCAATTTAGTATTCTTTGTTGTAATATTATCCTTCAGATTAGGTTCTTTTTTCGGGAGTAGCTTAAATGTGTTACAAGTTTTAGTTATATACAAGTGTATGTAATAGCCATTAATTACATAGAACGTTGCATAAAGCAAACAGAAATAAAATAATGTAACCTTGTTCATAAATCNTGCTATTTTACGAATGTATGAGCAACCCTAGTAGAATTAATGACTATGCGTCTTATGAATTTACTAAGCTCTAAGACATTGATTTTCCTTGTATTCCCTTGATTAAATCTGCTATTTGAACCGTCACCTGGATCCCATTAGGTTATTTTACGCTGTGATTTTTCACAAAAGTACTTCAACAAATTCTTCATTTCGTATCAATTACTAATACAACTTTCTTCTATAATCCTCTGCCTGGCTTGACCGCATGCTTCCCGCTGTGGACGGTGGTAGTTGGTTCTCTATATCATGCGTAGAGGTGAACGGCCTCCTGATGACGTTAGTTTGTAGTCGCGGAATGTGATGTTTATAAGACTTGATATCCGAGTCAATCGAGAAAGGGAACAGATAAGCATATTCGTTACTTTTTGTTCCGCCTGGTCTTGGGTTAAAGTCATCCGAGCTAACTGTTGAACTTCTCGTCAAACGTTCTAAAATTATAAACAAAAATAACATTAACAACTTAAATTCACCTTAAACTAAGCTGACAATAATTGAAGTAAATTAATTCTGGAATATTGCAATACTTGTTAGTTTATATTTGATGAATTATTTAATTAATTTACAATTTTAACATTAAGAATTGCAGTAAAAGAAAATTTTTCGATTTCTCCAATAGTCAAAAGTTGTTATTTAATTCTGTTCGCGAATCACAATGATATTTTTAATTTTAAACCTACCTGACAGTTGCTCTTGTTTCCGGATCCTGTTGCACTTACAAATGATGACAATAAAAATGACTCCAAG